TGTTTGGGCTAAAATGTTACTAATATGGCTATCTCGATGAGAGGAATCCAACTGTGAGTCACCACTTAAAACGGACATTGGACGACATTAACTAGTAAGAAAGGAAACATCGAATTTATCCTACAACTATTGATTATTGTACCTAATTTGATGAAATTTTCAAAGTAATTTACTAAGTGTAAGAATATCACTTGTGAGTTGTCCCACATTGTTCATACATGGAAAATAGATCCACCTTATAAGTCTAATGGGCTACTCCTCCTTCCACCAATTGGTTTTGGGATAGAACCTCATTTGGGCTTCATATGGGCTTTTCCCGCTTATAGTGCATTTCATGTTAGTGGGACCGCATCGTTTTTCTCCAGTTTCTTACATGGTATCAGAGCCGGTTCTATTGGGATCGTGCGATGACGTACCCGTTTATGGGAGTCTGTTTCCCCACGTACCCGTTTATGGGAGTCTACTTCTAGTAGGCTTGGGGCACCCAGTTGGGCTTGGACTTCTCAAATCCGTTTATGGGAGTCTGCTTCCCCACATACCCATTTATGAAAGTCTACTTCTAGTAGGCTTGGGGCACCCAGTTGGGCTTGGGCTTCCGAAGGACTCACAAGTGAGGGGGCGTCGGTTCTATTGGGATCGTGCGATGACGTACCCGTTTATGGGAGTCTGTTTCCCCACGTACCCGTTTATGGGAGTCTACTTCTAGTAGGCTTGGGGCACCTAGTTGGGCTTGGGCTTCTCACATCCGTTTATGGGAGTCTGCTTCCCCACATACCCATTTATGGAAGTCTACTTCTAGTAGGCTTGGGGCACCCAGGTGGGCTTGGGCTTCCGAAGGACTCACAAGTGAGGGGGCGTGTTAGAATATCACTAGTGAGTTGTCCCACATTGTTCATACATGGGAAATAGACCCACCTTATAAGTCTAATGGGCTACTCCTCCTTCCACCAATTGGTTTTGGGATGGAACCTTATTTGGGCTTCATATGGGCTTTTCCCGCTTATGGTGCGCTTCATGTTAGTGGGACGTTTTTCTCCAATTTCTTACACTAAGTTTGTTATCTGCCAATAAGATGAGCATTTGCTAGAAATAAGCAAATATAGTGGACTAAAGTGAAATTGAGACCACTAACATATATGCTAATTGACTTGTTAATAAGAGGGCAAAATTTCAAATTTTAGTCCACTATGTTCACCATTTTTTGAAAAGGTCCATCATAAAAGGTGTCTTCAAAAAAGGTCCACGATATTGCCACTTTAATCAAGTTCCGTACAATTTTCGGGATGTATTTATAAAATGCTCACGTGGAAGAATTGGTATCAGACGTAAGAGGATCAACTTGTGACGTGGATGGCAAATTTGCCCCAAACCTTAGTTGCAATTAACTAAAACTTTTGAAATAACGAAATAGTCCTTAGAACTTATCAAATTTAAAAAAAAATGAGTCCCTACATCTCAAATCTGATTTCAGCTTCATCTTCCCCCATCCACCTCCGTCATGCGACCTACGATCGGCTATGGATTCCCTGAATCACGTTATTTCGATTGCTATCTGCAAGAAATGCAGCCCGTCTGAGGTACTTTAAGGAAAAACTGAATTTCGGGCAGAGGCCAATTCAAGGAACAATTTCGATCTGTTATGCGCGGGATATAAAATTTAGTACATGGACCAATCAGATTTTGTGCAGAGACCAATCGGATTTCGTGTAGAGGGCGATTTCGGGAACAATTTCGGCCAAATTTTGTGCAGAGGCCAATTCCTTACGTTGCAAGGCTGAGGACCAATTTCTAGGCGATTCAACGAATAAATTCGACTGGCTCTCATATTTGAATGAGAGGCCACCCGACCCCTTGTTGGTCTCCGACGCTGTTGCAGATGAAGGATTTCATCACCTCTGCGGATGGGGAAACTTAAGATCTCCCTCTACTGTCGCCACCATCTATGTCAAACTCGGACGAGTCGAACCCCATCTGGACGAGCCCGAGAACCTTACAATCCGCAACGATGGCCACCCGTAAGTAGAACCGTCCGTCAGCAGGCCAACTCCCGCCGGAATCTGCAAGTGATACTAAGTGCATAATCCATATAGACCTCATATACATGTCCTAACATGCCTGATAGATTCCCTCGCATAAGCATATGGGATCTTCTTCATGCTCCAAGTTTAGCATTAACGGAAAGACAATCCTTATTTGCTAACTTGACGTCATGACTATTGAAATATTTTCTTTTGTTAGAATTTTCCATGGAGAAACACTTCAGTATCTTGAATATACACGTGAATCGTGAAACTCTAACACTCTATTAGGTATATCTCGATAGATCCTAATTTCAAGAGTATAGCATGTTTCACCCAAGTCTTTCACAATGAAGGTACTTGATAATCAATCTTTCACGGACGACAAGTGAGAAACACCATTTCATTATCAATATGTCACATATATATATATATGATAAAATAATATTATCCTCATTGCGTTTACTATAAACGCATAGATCCTTCTTACTTCTCACAAAACCAAATAATTATGTAACTTTGTAGAAAAAGATATTCCAACTCCCAGAGGCCACCGTGAACATGTTGTCCATCTTTCGGACATGCATTAACTCGTTGTTGCCATCGCGGATTCTCTGGAACCGCCACTGAATCTCATCGATCTCCATGTCGTGGTGCTTTCATGCCGAAATCAAGTTGGGACGAATCAAGAGAAACTGGATCAGAGCACGAACAACTTGTGAAATTAGGATTTAAAAATTAGGGGGGAAAAAAGACGATAGCATCTTTGGCATTGCTGATGATTACACAGGGGACTTTGGTGGCAACTAGCTGTGATGTGGGGTTGGGATGGATTCCAATCAGAATAGGGTTGTGATGATGTGGAGATTCGCAGCGGGCGATGGAGGAGGGTGAGGATAGGGAGGAGCAAGAGTAGAGAGAAATGAGCTACCTATAAAGTTGTAATACCTATGTATACACATATTGAATTTTACCTTCTATGTCAGAAATTAATCCGTTCACGTCAGAATTTTATCAATTCATCCCGAAAATTTTGTGAGACTTGATTAAAGTGACAAATTGTAAACTTTTTTTTTTTTTAAAGACCTTATGATGAACCACTTTCAACAAAATGGGCACCATTGGAGATAGATCCATTTTTAGCAATCAAATCTCAAAAGTATGATGACATTTTGGTAACTTTGCGGCTGCAATATATGACTTATCAGGCATGAATTCGCATCAATATGAGGTTCAATTTCGTGCTCCTTTTTAACTTATATCACGAATATAACTAAAACACCTGTTTATTTCATTTTTTTTTTTTTTTCCAAAGCTACAAATGAAGATGAAACTGACATGAAACATACATGATACATCACTAAAAAAAAGTTTATTATATTTTAGTTTTAAAATATTTAAATGATATAATTTTCATTGGAAATTTGCTAAAATTAACTCTAAGATATTGCGTTGGAACAAAATTTTCCTTGGAATAATTTTAGTTGAAATTCGACAAAGACCGTATTTTCAACATTATTGTAAAATTTTGCTATTAGAACATGTAATTCCCTTTGGAACTACGGGTCATATTTTAGTCGACGGGAAAACTCGCGCTGGAATCGTTAAATCAAAACAAAAATTCTAATAAAAAACAGATTCAACTAACTATTATTGTCGGAATTTTTGTTGAAATCTACTAAAAATTATTCAACGACAATAATACATCGAAATTATCATCCGATCGACATCATTTTCTTATAGTGGCGAATAGTAATTCTCATTTGGTACAAAAGTACTTCAAAATTGAAAAG